GTTGGCTAGCCCAGAAATCTAACGAGTATAACCCCAGAAATCTCTTCCTCAATCAGAGCGCCCAGGAAATGTAACCCATGAACTAGGTTCTCAGGTTGTCACATGTGTCTTGTGGAACCTGTTAGAGAATTGCTATAAGAATCAAATCAAATAATGAATGTGAAAGCAGTTTATAGTCTGTGAACTATACAAACATTCATTATTATTACTAATCCTACTGCTATAAATAAATTGGCAGTATTGGTGTGGCGCTGTGGGTTAATGCACTAAACTGCAAGGTCAGTTTGAACCATAAGGTCGGTAGTTCAAGCTCACCAGCCACTCCTTGGAAACCCTATACAGGGTTACTATGGGTCAGAATGGAATTTAACGGTACTTAACAAATACAACACCATCCTTTTTAAGGTTCATCACAAAGGTCATATCTTAGGAAGTCACCTTCTAGCTGTTGACTAAAATGTTTTCTTTTCAGAGTATACTTTCTAGTGTAAGTAATCTAAAGTAAGACCTTCCCTTCCCCACCTAACTGGTTCCTTACATCACCTGAATGGTTCTGATCCACTATCCTCACTGAGGTCACTTCTCAGTTGTCAAATCAGTGGCAATGTTGGGATGTCGTACTTGGCCTCACTGTAGCAGGTAAAACTGCTGACTATTTATTCTTTGCTCTTTAAACCTCTCAGGCCATACCATAGGTTTTCAGACACCATTCTCTTTCTTCTAGTTCTCTCCTACTTCTCTAACTATTCCTTCACAGTTCTCTTCATTTTTTCTTCTTTTTTCCACTCTTAAAAACCACAGTAGGACATATTTAGCCCTCCACTCTCACTATTCACTCTCTGGGATAGTTCACCCACTCTCATATACATGGCTTTATAATCATGTATCCTGACAATTTTCAAGTTTTTATCTGGTTGTAACTTTTCACCAAATTCCAAAGGCAAGCTACCTCCTCTAAATAATTATTTACCTGTAAATCACACAGGTACAAACATATTCCAAACCAGACTCAGGCTCTTTCTTAACTACTCCCAAAAGATCAAAGGCTTTGCCTACTAGTGGTAGTAGTTAAGTGCCATTGAGTCAGTTCCAACTTAGAGTAACCCTGTATATGGTTTCCAGGAAGCAGCTGATAGGTTTGAACCATGAGCTTTGCAGTTTAAACTGACCTCACCTTTTCCTAAAGCACCACACCAGGACTAAGTCTGGCGAGCTTCCTAATATGTAAGTTTATCCTACTTCTTTACCAGGTACCTTCCTCCACTTGTCTTAGTCTTAGGATTCATTTCTCCAAGTCCTAGCTTAAGTGTTATCTCCTTCATAAATTCTAAGTACTAGCTCAATCCTTAATGTTAATGTCTTTATCCCAAACCTGCTATTTTCTACTTTTGTCACCCCTAAAAAGGGACAATGAAGAGTCTTCTTTAAAACCCCCACAACCTGGCACAGGAAATTTGGGTTGTTGTTGTGATTAGCTGCCATGGAGTCCATTTTGATTCACAGCGACCCCATGTGTGCAGAGTAGAACTGCTCCATCGTTTTCAAGGCTATGATTTTATCCCAAGCTGCATCTGGGTAGGTTCAAACTACCAACCTTTCAACTAATAGTACAGTGTTTAAATATTGGCCCCAAAGACTTTGTTGTGTGGTTAAGTGCCATCAAGTCAGTTCTGACCCATAGTAACCCTGTATAGGGTTTCCAAGGAGTGAGTGGTGAGCTTCAACTCCTGAACTTGGGGTTCAAACTGCCTTTGATGTCCAGCGCATTAACCCACAGCACCACACCAGGGCTCTATACATTTCAGTTGTTGTTGTTTTTGTTAACTGTTGTGGAGTCGGTTCCAACCCATGGCGACCCAGCATAGGGTTTCCAAGGAGCAGCTGGTCGAGTTTGAACCAACGACTTTGTGGTTTAAACTGGAACTGGGGTCTAGGACTTTATCCCACAACGCCACACCAGGACGCCAGGTAAAGAAGTTAAATGCTCTACACGAAGACTAATCCTTCAGGACCTCAGTCATCTCTCAGAGGAATTTGAAGAAGTAATAACACAGCATCGCTGGATTCTGGTCATCTGGATTTCTCCCACATTTCTTGAAAGTTCATACCTCATGTCCATCTCACTCGCTCTCTTGTAGGCTGAACTTGTTGTTAAGTGCTGTCAAGTTGGTTCCAACTCATAGCGACCCTTTATAGAGTTTCTGAGGAGCAACTGGTGAGCTTGCACTACCAACCTTGCAGTTCAAACCAACCTTGCAATCTAGTGCATTAACCCACAGTGCCATACCAGGACTCCAGGAACTTGTTGCTGTTGTTAGGTGCCATTGAGTCGGTACTGACCCATAGCGACCTTATGCACAGCAGAATGAAACACTGTCCGATCGTGGGCCAACCTCACTACTGTTGCCACAATTGAGTCCATTGATGCTACCTCTTGGCCAATCTATCTTGTTGGGGGTCTTCCTCTTTTTATCTGACCCTCCACCTTACCAAACACAGTATCCTTCTCCAGCGACTGGTCCCTCCTGACAATATGTCCAAAGTATGAGAGATGAAGTTTGCCCATCTTGGCCTCCAAAGAGCACTCTAGCTGCACTTCTTCCAAACGGATCTATTGGTTCTTTTGGCAGTCCATGGCACTTTCAACATTCTTCTCCAACACCGTAACTCAAAGGCATCAATTCTTCTACGGTTTTCCTTATTCACTGTCCAGCTTTCACATGCATATGAGGTTATTGAAAATACCATGGCTTGGGTCAGGTGCACCTTAGTCCTCAAGCTGATATCTTTGCTCTTCCACACTTTAAAAATGTTTTGTGTAACAGATTTACCTAATGCAATAAGTCATTTGATTTCTTGACTGCTGCTTCCGTGAGTGTTGATAGTTGATCCAAGAAAAATGGAGTCCTTGACAACTTCAATCTTTTCTCCATTAATAAGAATGTTGTTTATTGGTCCAGTGTTTTCTTGACATTGAGATGTAATCCATACTGAAGGCTGTGCTCTTTGATCTTCATCAGTAAATGTTTTAAGTCCTCTTCACTTACTGGTCCTTTAATGTTTAGACCAAATGCTCCCTCCTCTATGAAGCATTCTAAATCTCCCTGGCCTTCCCATAAACTCATCTTTTCCTTCTCTGTTCTGCCAGAGTACTTTGTTTCTACTCCTCTTATAACCCACCTCAACTTTCTCCCACGGAGCAGCTACTAGATTAGAACCACCAAGCTCTGGTTAACAATCCAAGGCCTAGCCCACAGCACCACCAGGGTTCTTACTTACCAAATCACAATACAGTTGATTAGTTTTATATCCGGGCTCCTTGAGAGTCTGCCAAATAACTGAGGGCAGGGCCTACATCTATCCTATTCCTTTTTGTTGCTGAGCGCTTTACAAAAATCCATTGGGTTAGCTTTGATTTATGGAAGAAAAAAACAGGCTTAGAGAAATTAGGTAGCATACTAACCCACGGTTTCCCCAGTATCTGGAACATAATGCTGAAAGACTGAATGAATTTGTTTGTTTGAGGTCACGTAGCTGATGAATGGCAGAGGAGGTAATCAAACTTAGGTTTGACACTTTAAACCTCATGCTTTCATCATCTCTAGAGATTTTCCCTTCTTCATTGAAAGGTGAAAAGACAAAAATCCCTCTGGAGTATCTTTGCCTTAGTGGCACTGTGAGTTAGGCATTGGACTGCTAACCATGAAGCCAACAGTTCAAACCCATCATCTGCTTCATAGAAGAAAGATAAGGTTTTCTGCCCCTGTAAAGATAAAGTCTCAGAAATCCTATATAGCATCACTGTAAGTCTAAATCAACGGCAATGGGTTTTGTTTGGTTTTTGGTTTAGTATATTTGCAGTGTTGCTGCTGTTAAGTGTCGTCGAGTCAGTTCCAACCCATAGCAACCCTGTATAGGGTTTCCAAGGAGCATCTGATGAGCTTGAACCGCCAACCGTGCAGTTCAAACTGCTTTGCAGTCTGGCGCATTAACCCACAGCACCACAACAGGACTCTGATATATTTGCAGTCGTTGTCTGTTGTTAATTACCGTGCCGACTCAATAGTGACCCTTTGCTTTAATTCTGTGGTTTCTCTTGGAAAGGTGAATTAGTCCATGTTCATTTAAAAAACGTTAACAATTTCTCCCAATCTTTCACTATTTTATATTTTTTTCCTTGCTGCTGTGAAAATGTGAAATCTCAACTGTCACACCATTTATTAAAGGTAGAAGGAACCCTGGTGGCACTGTGAATTAGGCACTGGACTGTTAACCACAAAGTTGGTAGTTCAAACCTACCAACTGCTCCTACAAAGAAAGGCAAACTTCTCTGCTTCTGTAAATATTTACAAACTCGCAAACCCTATGTACTGTACGGTCACTATGAATCAGAATCAACCTGATGGCAGTAGGTTTGTTTCGTTGTTGTTTTTTAAATAGTAAAGTATCCTTGTTTAAGGCACTTGATAAAAAGTAATTCAAATATTCATAGTACATGTTGTTGTAAGTGCCATCGAATCGATTCCAGGTAGGCTCAATCGGTTTATCTCCTATATGATAGGCACATGTCATACCTGTGGGTGAAGGAAACAGCCTCTAGGAACTGATTTATTGGTTTGAGGACATTGCATAGCACTTGAATAATCCAGCAATCATAGCAGCAAGCAGCCATATCTACCTGGGAACCGAGGCTTAGCATTCCTCAATTAATTAGTTTATTCCATCCTTCAGAAGGACATGTATTAAAACTTCTGACTGCAGACTCCAGCCTATCTTTAATCCATTATAGTTGGTTCCAACATTACATCTAGCCTTTTTCTACAACCCAGTGGCTAAAAGGAAATACAATAATGGTTCGAATGCCTGTTTTTAAAAAGTATACTGCTATGGTTATTAAAATTTATATTATAACACAAATGTAAGTGGCAAATTGGAAAATATAATTAAACATCATCATCCCAAATATGGTAAGTTAAAGGTATTTATGTGCACATACTTACCTTTTGTGCATTTTCCCCATCTTCGATTGCAAAGCCTAGTCGGGGCTGTCTGGGGATGATCAGGTCTTTTAGTGTTAAACAATTTACATCCATCTGTAAGGCACAATTACATTAAAAAACGATTTTACAATGAGATAGTTTCTCCTTCGATGAAACTATTTACTATTTGTTAGTGAACATGAACTTCCCCTCCCTTAAACTCGTCCTGGGAATTTCCAGGAGCACAGTCACCCCCTCTCTAAAACTCAGAGGCACACAAGTGTGCTTAGGAAGTACTGAAAATCTGGGAAGGAAAATCATTGACAAAAGTAGGAATTCTTTAGGAAAACCAGCAGGGCAAAATAAAATGACCAATTCAGACGGGCATTAGGTAAATCTGTCAGGAAGCATAGGGTCTTCTAGGTCAGTTAATTTTGGCGCAAAGAACTGAGAGGAATTTGGCTTTGAGGGGGGCTTGAATCAGGAGGGAAGGAAACTTGATCGCTAGACCAAATCCACTCATTGCTTGGCTCAGTCACTTCGCAGGCCTTCCAGTAAACCCCAAGGATAAACACTTCCAAAGAAACCCCTAAATCGTGAGGAAGGACAGGGCCCCTGTTTTCCGTCGGAGGAAGATCTAGAGCAAGGACAGCAGCCGCGAGTCAGGTCTGGCGTCAGAAACGCCTCGATCTGCCGCTAGCGGAGCCCGGGAGGGTGGCAGGCTGGCAGCCAGGACAAGAAGAGACCCCTTTCCCCCCAATTCCCGCCTGAGCACCAGCGTCGGGAACGCACGCTACTTACTCCCGCTTCGCTAAGGAGGCTTCCAGCCTCTAAAGGGACCTCCCCTGCCCCGCAGAAGCGCGGAATGAGTTGCGGAGATTAGCAGCCGGGAGACTGGAGCGGCGACATCGGGCGGGGAAAACGAGGCGCACTGACCCCCGTTAAAAGTGCCCAGCGCTGGCGGGGACCCCAGGGCGTCTGGGCAGCGCCAGCGCTACAACCCGCCGAGCACGACACCAGCTCAGGATCTCAGTCCCCGCTAAAACACCTCCTCTGGCGCCTTGAGACCGAATTTGAGAATCCACCAATCACCGGCGTTCGGCTGAGCGGCTCGGCCAATTGCGCGGCGGCATGACCCGGGCTCGCCGCCCCTCCGAATCTTGGCGCTCCAGACCGCGCGTTTTGCCTTCACCCGCCCAATTGTTGCAGCCTCGGTCCCCACCTCTTCCGGGTACCTGGAAACCTCGCGCCTGGGTGCCGATTCCAACCAGGGAAGGGGCCTTAGCGTCCGCGGGAAGCTAAGGTGGGGGCAGGGCGGGGCGGCGGGAGGAGGAGGTGGTTCTTTTGTTATGCATAAAAGACCCGCTCTGGTCCTCTCAGCTTACCGCGCCCAGAAACCGCGGTGGGGTGGGGAAAGCAGATGGAGTTTGTAAAAACGATATACACTCTGGATGCTGCTGCCGCCCCTTTTACACCTTTCTACACCCTACCCCACCCCCACCCCCAGCAACCTGCAAGGCTGCGAAGTTGTCCGGACTTGTTGAGGCCAGCTTCCTAACACCCGAAAGCTGGTGTGAGAAACGAACCATGGTTACCATTTTATGCTGTGAGCAGATGGCACGCCAGTTAGCCCTGGAAACTAGACTGGTTTTGTTGTGCAAGCCCAGAAATGTGTTTGGATGCTGACCCCTATGCAGAACATTAAAATAACTAGAGGGAAATAATCTTTATTAATTCTCTGCGATGGGGATCAGTGTTCAGGTAGACAGAAGTTTCCTCAACATGACTGATTTGAATTAAATGTTTCACTTCCTTTAATTTTAGCTTCTTATTTAAAATACGGATGTAGGTAAAGATAGCTTGTTGGATTTTGTTTGTTTTGATAGATTGTATTGTTTAGAAAAATTGTAGATTATTTATTACAGAATACCAATTATATTTTAGTTTTTTGTGTGTGAGATTTCTCTGACTTCTCTTGTTATGTATGACTTTAGCAGTTTTTAGGAACTCTGATAACGTAGTGGTTACAAATAGGGCTGCGAACCGCAGGGTCAGCAGTTCGAAACTACCAGCTGTTCCGCGGGAGAAAGATGAGGCTTTCTGCTCCCATAAACATTTACAGCCTCAGAAGCCCTGTACAGGATCGCCATGAGTCAGAACCGACTCCACGGCACATCACCACCACCACCAATCAGGTAGTTTGTAGGATGTCTTTCTATTAGGAATTGAGAGTTTTCTTTAAAACCAGACATGACCTCACAAACCACATACTTCACAGCAAGGATATCGTTTTTTTCCTGCTCATATTAAGAGTCCTTTCTGTACCAAGTGCTCTGTTCTCCATCCCACCCCTCACTCCCCTCCCCCAAATATTTGTTGTTGTTAAGTGCCGTCGAGTTGGTTCCTACCCATAGCGACCCTATACAGGGTTTCCAAGGCTGTAAATTTTTACAGGAGCGGAAAGCCTCATCTTTCTCCCGCGGAACAGCTGGTAGTTTCGAACTGCTGACCTTGCGGTTCGCAGCCTGATTCGTAACCATTACGCTACCTGAGCTCCCCCAAATATATTATTGTTTAATGCCATCCAGTTGGGTCTGACTCATAGAGACCCTGTATAGGGTTTCCAAGGAGCTGCTGGTGAATTTGAACCCCCCACCTTGTGGTTCAAACGGATCATGGGCTTCAGTGCTGTATCTCACAGAAACACACCAGGGGTGTGTGTGTGTGTGTGTGTGTGTGTGTGTGTGTATTGTTAAGTGCCTTTGAGTTGGTTCCAATCCTTAGTGAGCCTGTATAGGGTTTTCCAGTAACAGCTGGTGAATTTAAATCCCCGACCTTGAGGTTCAAATCGACTTCGCAGTCCAGTGCGCTAACCTGCTCTCTCTCTCTCTCTCTCTCTCTGTATGTAGATACATAGGCTTCAAAAAGTTCAATGGAAAATTCCTTTGCTTTTTAATTCTATTTTCTTACAAACTTTCTGAAACCTGCTCATACATAGACATTGCAAGGGGTCCTGGCGACACAGTGGTTAAGTGCTGTGGAAAGGTGGGCAATTGGAACCCACCTCTGTGGTAGAAAAGCTCTGGTGATCTGCTCCCGCTAGCGTAGGAAACATTACAGCCGTTCTACTGTGACTACTCTCATATAAGGTTACCATGTGTAGGAAGAGATTTGATGCACACAGCAATATACACACTGACAGTGGAATTTACAATGCTGGTCAAGTCCTTCACTTTTTAGTCTCTTTAGATAGCTAGTAAATATAACCTAAAAATCTCTGTGAGGTCATACATTTATTTAAAGGACAAAAAAAGCATGAAAAACGCTAAACATAAAAGTAACAACAAAGATTTTTGAATTGAACATTTTAAATAATAGATATAACACTTTTTGAAAACTAATATATGGTGCTGTAAGATTAGCACTAAACATAAGGTGGGTTTGAACCAAAAGGTCAATGGCTCAAACTCACCAGTCGATCCTCAGAAACCTTACAGAGGGTTGCTGTGAGTCAGAACCAACTTGACGTCACTTAACAACAATAACAATATTTTTCTAATGTTTATCATGTGCCAGGTTCTGGTTTTCAAGGAGTGGCTAGTGAGCTTGAACTGCCGACCTTGCAGTTCAAACTAGCTTTGCAGTCCAGTGCATTAACCCACAGCACTGCACCATACCAGGACCTTACCAGATGGAATACACAGGAATCAAATTGACTATATCTGTGGAAGGAGACAATGGAGAAGCTCAACATCATCAACCAAACAAGACCAGGAGCAGACTGCAGAACAGATCATTAACTACTCATGCAAGTTCAGGCTGAAACTGAAGAAAATTAAAACAAGTTCATGAGAGCCAACGTATGAACTTGAATATATCCCACCTGATCTAGAGACAATCTCAAGAACATATTTGATGCATTAGAAGAGTTGTGGGATGACATGAAAATCATCATACAAGAAAAAAGCAAAAAGGTCATTAAAAAGACAGAAAGAAAGGCCTAAATGGATGTCAGAAGAGACTCTGAAACTTAATCTTGCACATTGTTTTTGTTGTTAGCTGCTGTTGAGTCAGTTCCGACCCATAGTGACTCTGTACAGGGTTTCTGAGGCTGTAGATCTTTATGGGAACAGAAAGCCTCATCTCTCTCCCGTGAAGCGGCTGGTAGTTTCGAACTGTTGACCTTATGGTTTCACAGCCTGATTCGTAACCACTATGCTACCAGAGCTCCCTAATCTTGCACATAGAGAAGATAAAGCGACCAGAAGAAAAAGAGCTGACCAAAAAATTTCAAAGGGCAGCTTTGAGAAGACAAAGTCAAGTTTTATAATGAAATGTGCAGACATAGTATTAGAAAACTAAAAGGGAGGAACACACTCAGCATTTCTCAAACCCAAAGAATTGAAGGTAAAATTCAGGCTTCTGGCTTTCATATTGAAGAATTCAATTTGCAAAATATTGAACGAGCAAGGAAGTTTCAAAAGAAGATGGAAGGAATACACAGAATCATTGCACCAAAAAGACTTGGTCAATTTTCAATGATTTTAAGAGGTACCAGAAGTAAAAGAAATTGTTTTGGAGAAGAATATTTAAACTATCGTGGGGAAGAATATGTCAGAAAAACATACAAATCTGTCTTGGAAGAAGTACAGAGAGAATTCTTCGTCTCTCGTACTTTGGACATGTTAGGAAGAACCACTCCCTGGAGAAGGAAACTCTTGGTAAGGTCAATGTAAAAATACAACAGCCTCCAACTAGATTGATTGACAAAGGCATCAACATTGGACTCAAACATAACAATAACTGTGAGAATGGTACAGGACAAGGAAGATGACACATCCTTGCTTCCCGGAAGGTTGAGGACTTGAAATGCTTATTAATGAAGATAAAAAACTATAGCCTTCAATATAGATTATACCTCAAAGTAAAGAAAACAAAAATCCTCATAACTGGACCAATAAACATGATAAATGGAGACAAGATAGAAGTTGTCAAAGACTCTATTTTCCTCAGATCCACAGTTAAGACTCATAAAAATGTCATTGCTATTAGGTGCCTTCGAGTTGGTACTGATTCATAGCTATGCACAACAGAATGAGACACTGCCCAGTTCT